GTATGATGTTGTCTGTTACTGTCAACTCATCTTTTAACTGCTTAAATTCGCGAAGTTCAGCTTCGTTCCACAACACATGATTATTCTGTTCAATTGCCTGTTTCAATTTCTGTAGTTGGCTATCAACTTTGCTTTCAGCCTCAATATCACTCAGTTTCATCGCCTTTAGGATTGCGTTGTGTACAATATAATTAACATGCGCAACAGTTTGCTGTTCTTCAGTGTCTTGTGTTGTCTTGTTTGGGTGTCGACTTAAGTAGTCAGCCGGGTTGTCGTGTCCAGGTCGGTATTCCAACTCGTAATTATATGGCATTAATCTTAACCTCCAGCGTTCAATTTGTGTGCTCAGTGGCTTGTTATGGTTGAATATGCTGAGTAATGGTTTATGGTCAGTCATTATCTGAAATCTTGCTCCATATAAATACAAATGAAAATGTTCAGCACCGAAAACGACAGCTAACATTTCCCGCTCTGTTTGCGAGTATCGCTGTTCAACACCGGTCAACGATCTGCTAGCGTATCCTATAACTTTGCCATCTTGGCAGAGCATAGCGGCTAATCCTGTTGGGCTTGCATCCACTAACACCTGCGAGTCTTTCTGAATGTCGAAGTATGTCATCACTGTGGGGCTGATGAGGGCGGTTTTAAGTTTAATAAAAGCTTGTTCTTGGGTGTCTGTCCATTTGAAATAGACATTCTTTCGCGTCAATTTACGCAGCGATGTTGTCAGTGATGCATAATCGGGAATAAATCTCGCCACATATTGTGTTAGTCCGAGAAAAGATCGAACTTCGCTTGCATTCGTTGGTCGTGGAGCGTTTTGAATATCTTCAACTTTCCGGGGATCAACTGCCAAGCCATTACTGTTGAAAATATGACCATAGAATTTTACTTCATGTGTTCTGAACACACATTTTTCTTTGTTTAGCGTAACTCCATGCTGCTGTAGTCGCTCTAATGACGCTTTCAAATTTTCATCGTGTTCTTGTTCATTTCGTTCAAAAATAACAATGTCGTCCGAGATATATTTACAGCCTTTAAGCCCGTACAACAGTTTTCCTACTTCAGCTGAGAAAATTTCTGAAGCTGCATTGACACCAAAGATCAACCTTTTATATCTATATAGACCGGAATGAGTGGTAAAGGTAGTAAGAAATCTAGAATCCTCGTGGAGGTGTAACTGATGGTAACCTGATCGTAAATCTAATTTACTATACACAGTGGCACCATTAAGGTCACTTACTATGTCATCTAATGTGGGGATTGGGTGACGTTCTCTGAGAATCGCCTTATTAACCTGTCTCATATCAACACAGATTCTTATAGACCCATTACCGTTTGGTACAACGACGATTGGGCTTACCCAGGGTGTTGGACCTTCTACATTTTCGATTATATCCAAATCCATCAATCTATTTAACTCCTTATCTACATCTTTTCTTATGTGAAATGGAATCCTTCTGTGTCTTTGCTGTGTGGGTTTTACAGTTGGATCAACATGTAGTTTAACTTCAACCCCTTTAAATTTTCCAATCCCGTCAAAAATTGGGTACTTTTTTGAGTGTATGAACTGTACACCATCATCATTATCAGTAAAATTTGTTGCATTATTAGTAGGAATATCTGTATCTCTAATACCCATTACATTATTGTTACAAGTCACCTTAACCAAGTTAAGTTTTTCCGCCGACCACCATGAGAGTATGTTACCAACATTGCCATCAACAATGTAAACATCATCCTCACATTTTACCTCATTTTCTGCATGGAACGTTACCTTACAAACACCTCTAGTTTTCAATGGTTCGTCACTACCAAACCCATAAATTTTAACATGTGTTTTCTGAAGGATAGGCTTTTTCTTAAAGTTATCAAATACTTCACTTGCCATAATGTTAACTGAGGCACCCGTATCTATAATGAATCTGACAAACTCATTATCAACTCTAATTGTACTACTGGGAAGTTTACTTTCTGGGATACCAAATACATACTCATTATGACCATTTTTCACTACAATTTGTATCATATTCTTCACTACTGTCATGTATTACAGTATGAACCTTAGGTCTAGTAAACTTGTTTGTTTGTTTCATTACAGGTGATCTACATACGTTAGCAAAATGATTACGTTTGTGACACTTCTTACAAACTTTGCCGTATGCCGGACATTTTCTTATTTCATGATCTCTACCACAATATGTACATTGTTTCACCATATCTTTACTGTTAGGCCTTTGTGATACCTGTTTACGTTTATCATACAGTCTATTAACACTGTCTTTACTTGTACTTTGTGCAATGTCTGTTGACTGTAATTCTGCTTGTTCATTTGCTCGTGCTAACAGTAGAATGTCATTTAATGTTCTTTCTTCTTCTAACAGCTTTCGCCGACGTCACTGCTGCACTAGAGCCATCTGCCGCGGCAGTTGTAGGTCTAGGCCTGGAAGTAGGTTGTTTTAATCGAACATCTACTTCATCCTGGAGATCTGGGCCTCCATAAAATAATAATAGTGCTTTCTTCCTATTATCATCGGTTATGTTATTTGCTATTAGGCCAATCTCAAAATGCCTTATCCATCTGTCCCATCGTCGGGGAAGATCAGCATGACTATGCACGTTGAACTGTGCTATGTTCATAAACGTGGCTGTGCTCTTCAACATGGCTGCGGTCGCACTCTCTCGGTGGTGTGACTTCACTCATCAAATTCTGAGATTTGACTTACTTTTATCTCTTCTGCAATGTAGGGTAAGGTTCCTCGTCGTCAATGTAATGTTGTACTGTCAGTAGTATATCATGTAACTACGCATACATCAAATGAAGTACAAACACTAGAACTCATCATATGGTTCTCTGCCTTTATTCATTCATCATCATTATGGCTCCTCTCTAAGTTTCCAACCTTAACGCCAATAGGTGGCGCTACTGCCAATATTGTAAATAATCACAACACCACAGTAGGGTCGTGACAAAGTGCGAGCCAGCGAGTTATGCGAGCCAATGCGCGAGCCATTCGAGCCAGCGAGCCATACATTTTAAATCGTTTTTGTTTTTTCCACTGGGGAGCTTTGCCTGTGTAGTCCAGTCATGCGCAGTACATACACTTTCGGACTGTATCTGTATTTTAACAACATCTATCAGCGCTGCATACTTTCGGATCGACGA